CCCAGTTTTGACAATGTACTAGTGTTATGTAAGATATCAGTTAGAGAATCTAGACAAGGAAGCATTTGGAAAAAATAGGCATGTGTTACACACTGCACAAATGGATGGTGTACATGTTAGATATTAAGCATTAATAAATAATTATCATCAAGGATTTTTTAAAAATTTTAATCCACTGGTGGAGTTATTTTATTACAAACAGCATAGCAAACAAAACTGGTGTAATTTGAATTTCTGATCATAATTACTATTTTTAAAATTTGTGAGTCTTAAACTATTTCTAAATAAAGGCTATTAAAATATGTAAAAATATTTTAAAAAATAGGCCCTGGCTGGGTAGGTCAGTTGGTTAGAGCATCATCCTGATAAGATTGCGGGTTCAATCTCCAGTCAGGGCACGTACAAGAAGCAATCAATGAATGCATAAATAAATGGAACAACAAATTGTTTCTCTTTTTCTCTCTTTTTCCCTTCTTCTTTCTCTAAAATCAGTAAATAAATAAATAAATAAAATAATAATTTAAAAAAAAATAAAAATAAAAATAAAAACAACACATGCTGAGGCCTGATTCTAAAGGTTCTAATTTAGTGGGTCTGTGTTAGATTAGTATTAAATCCAATGAGTCTATGTTTGGATATTCGTAGTAAAAACAAATTTTTTAAAACTTCTGTATTGTACTGCTAGGCTTGAGAACTACTGCCCTATGCAATACTCATTAGCATTTATACAGACATTTCAACATGCCCTTGAATTTACTTATAAAGAACATAGAATATTGACTCTTTTGACTTTAGTCAATGACAAATGCAGGTCAGGTCACTGAAAATAAAAGAATTTCTAACCAGTTAGATTTAATGTATCCACTTAATGTTTGGATTCAGATATCCCAGAATGTATAAGGAATCAATCAATAAAAGCTTATCTAAGAATGGCTATCCACTGTCCTGGGTGTAAAAAGCAAAATCATTTTAGAGGTTATAGTTAATAAGTCATATTAAACATTTACTAAAATTAATAAGTTTTGGTATTGATATTTTTAGAGGATGATTCCAATTTGATCTCCCCCTACAATTTAGTTTTTTCAAAACACCCTCCATTCTCTAGCGTTTATATTTTCAAAAATCAGGAGTAAAATTTAGTCACCACTGGTTTACCATGTTAAAGGAAAAAAAAATCAGAGGAGTATTTTGAGAGTCCTTAGGAAAGCATTTCAAAGGCCCAAAGTCAGACTGAAAACTGATGGGAATAAGTTAAGAGGGAAACCCGTTAATTACAATTTGATTTATTACAAGTGTATATGTAGTTAATATTCTCATGTTATCCACATGCATCTACCGTTATGTCACTGGCTACTAATATAGTTTCTTTCACCCATTTATTAAGGTATTAGGGATATTTCCTCTCCTATGTGTGTAGCAGGTGCCCAAGTATGGGTAGGCAAGGACAGAAAGAGCTCCCACTTACTAGTATGTGCCAGGCTGTATAAGAGGTTTCAGATACAGGGTGGGGGGAAAGTGGGTCTACAGTTATTCATATGGAAAATGATGTAATTAATTAAAAATAATACAAGAATACACTCTGTTTCACGGACTCACAACTATGAAACTACTTTTGCCCATAAACACTGTATTTCATAAAAGCCTCACAATAAACCTGCAAGATACCTATTAACATCCCTATTTACATATAAGTTTGCAGATTGAGAAGCTAAGTATCCTGTCTGAGACACACAAATGGTAAATGGAGAAGCTAGATTTCAACCTGTGTTCTCATGACAAACAGGTACCCCTATAGGACAAGCAACTTTGATCAAGAAAGCTGACAAAAGTATATATAACAACAGGAAGACATACAATGCTATAAACATTAGAACAAAAGCAAACAGCGAAGTCACTTACCCAGTATATCTTTGTGAGTGTAAAAGCGTGTCTTAAATGGCTTGTATTCATGGATCCGTTTGAAGACTTCCCCAAAAGGAGCTGGTGGAATTATTTTATTACAAACAGCGCAGCAAACAAAATTGTTGTAATCTGAATTTCGGATCATATTTAAATTTCAGATGTCTTTTACTATGTATAGTTATAATACTCTTAGGAGCATAAAAAGTAGTGTTGAGAAAAGCTAGATGTTTAGAGAGGCCCAAGATTCTAGGACAATGCTAGAGGCTGGTAAGGATTAAATGATTCACCATGATTAGGTAGTGGGTATGCGCCTGATGTGAAAGAATGCTACTGAAAGCCTCTGCATGTAAGGTTGGGAAGATTTAAGCTGCTGCTCCCTCCAGACACTAGCATTAAATTGTTAACTTACTTAGCAACTGTTGCTAGGTCAGAAAGCTTTGCTCATAAAAGCAACTAGAAATGACAAAAAGTGTAGCATGGTACAGCCATTCATTTCCCAAATACTTTCTGTATTATTTTCTTATTGCTGTTGTGGTGGATTAAAACAACACGAATTTATTCTCTTTGGTCAGAAGTTCAAAATGAATCTTATGAGCCTAAAATTAACGTGTCAGAAGTGCTTTAGGGAAAATGTTTCCTTACCTTTTCCAACTCCTGTAGACCACCCACATTCCTTGGCTCGTGGCCTTGCATCCTTTAGCCTTTTCTCCCCATTTGCAGGGTGACATCGCTTCCTCCTTGGATCTTCTGCCTCCCTTTCATAAGGACCTGTGTGAGTATATCAGGCCTCCCCAGATAATGAAATCCTTAACTTAATCACATCTGCCAAGCCTCCTTTGCTATATAAGATAACAGACTCACAGGTTCCAGGGATTAGGACATGGACATCTTCGGAGGTGGGTGGTTAAGGGGAGCATTATTCAGCCCACCACACTTTAAGTGATAAAAGAATTGATTCCTTTTAGACCAGCAAAGGAGGGAGTTTAATTTTCCCCCCAGATTATCTATAATGTAGTTTTGATGCTATGGCAATAAAACTGGGAAATATCACAGTATTTTAAAGAAAAAATTACTTTCATTAAGTCAGCACTCAAAATTACTAAGCCTGGTTTTTGAAAGCACATCCTATCTTAGACAAACATGGTAATTGACCGTACCTTTGCTACGCCTCCCATTGGCTAATCAGCACGATATGCAAATTAACCGCCAACAAAGATGGCAGCTAATTTGCATACTGTAGGCAGGGCGGGCCAGCAGGAGCCGCCATCCAGGCCTCCGTGTGCCGCCTAAGCCCCGCCCCCAGCCAGGACCCCTGTGTGCAGCCCTGGGCTGGCAGGACCCCGGTGTGCGGCCCTGGGTGGTCAGGACCCCCAGGACCCAGGAGCCGCCTTGCCTACAGCCTGTGATTGTGATCAGAAAGCCGGGCCGCAGGCAAGGCAGCATCCCAGGACCCAGGAGCCCATCGGCGAGGTCTGCAGGCGAAGCAGCAATCAAGCTATGAGGGGTAGGGTGGGGGGAGGAAGGAGCTACAGGAGCAGCTCTGGCCGGAGACTGAAGACTCCTGCCGGAGTGAGGAGCAAAGACTGAAAGCTCCAGCCACAGCAAAGACTGTGTCCAGAGCAAAGATAGAAGGCGGTGGCCAGAGTGAAGGTCTGGGTCCCGGGTGCCAGAGGAAAACTGGTGCTGGCAGCCAGGGGAAAGAAGGCCTATTGCACGAATCTTCGTGCAATGGGCCTCTAGTCTATATATATAAAAGCCTAATATGCAAATTGTCCCAGCAGGAGTTCGACCAGGAGACCGATCGCTCGCTATGACGTGTTCTGATCACCAGGGGGCAGCACAGAACAAAGGAAGGCCCCAGCCATCAGCTGGAGAAGGGAGGCCCCAGCTGGCAGCCGGCAGCCAGGGAAGGGAAGCCCTGGCCAGCAGTCAGGAAAAGGAGGCCCCAGCTGGAAGGAAGGCCCAGGCTGGTAGCTGGAAGGCCCTGATTGGCTCTGATTGCTGGCCAGACCTAGGGACCCTACCCATGCATGAATTTTGTGCACCAGACCTCTAGTAGTTAAGTAATTTACATAGTTAAATAATTTGTTGCCCTTGTTTTAAAATGTAAAGTCTGCATTCCAAGAACCCCCCTGGTGCCTGACAAACTGGGACAGATTGGTTAACTATGAAAGATAAGTCTATAAACCAATAAATAATTTAACTATTTGCTTCAGGGAATTGTTGAAAGCTTGCTCCAATGGGCAAATAACTCCTCTATCAGAACAGATTGATTCCCCAGGCAAAAAGGTCACCTGCCCTTTATCAACCAATAGTCTACTTATCAAGACTTGCTTCAAGACCTAATCTATTACCAAGTTTTGCCCAATCTCAGACAGATTCCCACATTAAAAGACCTCCTTTAACTGCTTGAACCCACACTCCAAAATGCTGTCAATATCTTGCCCTAACCATCCCCTTCTTGGACATGACTGACTTTGACAAAGTGGCATTTTCCCTTAGAGAATGAATAAAAACATCAACACATAGCCAGTCAGTCTCTGACACTCTATACACACAGACTGTGCTATAACTGTAACCATCCTGTAAAAAGTATCATAGTTAGGTACTTGTTCCTAAAATTCAATGTGACTTTTATCTCACACTATTTTTCTTTCACAACCATGTGCCTCACCGAATCTACTGCCACCTTAGTTCATTCATGTGGACATCCACATGGCTCAAGGCTGTAGCCTGTGCAGTTCCTGCTACGATATCTCTTGACTGTTCACCTAACTAATATCTCCCCCACCAAATATCAACTTATTTTGCTGAATACTAGAAGAATTCTAAAAGATGTGATACTAAATATGTAAGTTGAAAACAGAATTCAAGTTCATTAATAACCAGAGTCTACAGGGAAACCATAATTATTAAGCAAAACATAATACTTTACATTAAAAGGCATTTTGCCCTGGCCCATGTGGTTCAGTGGTCAGAGTGTCAGCCCTCGCACCAAAGGGTCCATTCCTGGTTAATGGCACGTACCTGGGTTGCCTGTTCCATTCCTAGCCTGGTTGGGGTGTGTGCAGGAGGCAACCAATGGATGTGTCTCTTTCACATTGATGTTTCTCTCTCTCTGTCCCTCTCTCTTTCTCCATCCCTACCTTCCACTCTCTAAAAATCAATGGAAAAAATATCCTCTATGAGGATTAAAAAAAATGAAAAGGCATTTTATACCACCTAAGTGCAATTTAAACTACATAAAGTGTACCATATAGAGAAACATAGCAAAAAAATATTTAGGGCTCAGTAGTAAAGATTTAATTTAGCTGCATATAGATAACTCAATTAGCTAAGTTCTTTAATATCTACAAATCAGACATAATTGCATTTTCATGTGTCTTTACAAAAACCACAATAAAGTTTTGGAAATTAAAAATTTACATTATGATAAACTCTGCTTGTACAGTTGTTATTACTTCTTAATACTAAATGAAACAAAATTTCAGAGATGAGATTTATTACTGAGCCCTAATTACAATGATTTAGAGAATGGGGTAAATGTCTAGAAATAGAACAGGTCCAGAACCCTTGTCAGAAAGATTTAAATTATATCAGGTAAACCCAGGACAGTGAGGAGACCTTCTTATCTATTGAGTAGTTCTAGTTTTTAAATAACTATAAGAACACCTGGTCTTATGTTAATCATATCATTGTAACATTAATTTACAAAAATTAGATAACTGTGGAGAGCGGCTACAGCGTTAGGACAGGATCAAGCCTCGACTGACTTGTGGCAAAGCCACATACAAGTCCCAGCTTGGAGGGCAAAGCCCTCCCAGCACAATTATAGCCAAAAGGCTATGGTTTTAAGCTTGACCTTACAGTCTGACCCTGAAGTCCTAGGTAGCTAAGGGATGTAGGCTGCTGGGGGTGCAGCAAGTGCTGCCTAAACAAGGCTTGATAGAGTTCAGAGAATGGCAACAAGAGGAAAGAAGCAGATTTGAAACTCGCAAGAACATTGTAAACATCTTGCCCTTGTTTTGCTTTGTGTGATCTGACTGTAAAATAAAGCTTCTGCTTACAGGCTGGGTCACTGTTTCCTCATCCAGGCAGCGATCCACCTGGTCCCAACTGTATTCTCTTGTCTGTTTTCTTTAATCCTTCACCGCCCCTCCTCAGGTTCACCCCTGGCCGTGCTGGACGCAGTTCAGATAACAGTTGTAGTAAAAAACAACACCATTCCTCATTATAACATAGCTAAAATGAAAAGCCAAAATATATGAACCATCTGTGACTCTGTAAAAACTATTTGTCTATAACACTGACAATAATATAAGGCTTTACAATAATTTACAATTACTTCTTTTTCTTCACAAATATAGATTCTATGCCAGGTGGAAAATAAATATTTCCATTGCAAATAGCAAAACAAAACTAAACCCTCAAAACAATTGCAAATGCACACTCATCTTAAAATATTAAAAATACTGTGGAAATTTAACAATACTAGGTACTTTATTATATAGACCTTAATAATTAATAAAAATGACTTCCATTCTCATGGTACTTTTATAAGAGGATTTAATTTTAAAAATACATTGAGACGTTTCCTGTGGAAAAAGAATAAGATAATGGCTGCAGCTTTGAAAAGAAAAATTTTTACTATAGTGGTTTGGTTGCAACTGTACAAGAAACATGATATTGTGTATTTATAAAGTCTATCATTTGATGATTCCAGAGCCCTTATTTAGCTCCATCCAGAGTAACCAGCACTATTAATCCCATTTAGATGTTTTCCTCCTCATATAGCTGTGTCCCTCACTATCAATAGCTTCATAGAGGTCCTTTTTATTCTCTTGTGTTGCATGTAGATAACCGATATAAGCCACGCACAGCGAAAGGGTTATCAATCCGAAAGCCATTACCGGTTTGTTCTGTCAAAGAAAAAAATTACAAAGCCTCGTTAAGACTAAGGATTTGAGGAGACCCAAATATCTGTTGCATTTTCCTCTTGACAAAACAAGTCTTTATTACCACACTAGCATTCCTATGATATTCTGAATCAAAATAACTTTTCTAGTTCTTTATTCAATTAACCCAACTCCTGATAATTTAGAGATTGTAGAAGACTGTTGCTTCTCTTCTCCAGTCTTTCTTCTG